ATCTGTTTAGTGAATGTATGACTTCCAGAGTCATCTTTCCAGAAGAGCAGACTGAGCACAGCCAACCAATCTTGGAAGCTTTGGGGACTCACTGCTGCATTTTAGCAACTTGGGTAAATAATTAATTACTTCCATGAGAGTACCACACTTGGATATCAAACTGATTAAAAATCATGTTAGCTGATTTTGTCTTTGAAAGTAAGTTTATAATAGAAAAGTTAGAGAATATGAACAGCCAGGAGAAAAAAATAAAATCATCCATAGACCCATTACCCAGACAAATAATTACCAGCCATCTGTTGACATAAGGCGCCTCAGTTCGTTTCCTAAATTTTTACTTTCATTAAAGAAATGGGGTCAAGCCTGGAGAATATCTCAGCTACTGAGCTGGCCTTTGCAAAGCTCACCAGTCATTAAATCCTAGTGCTCAGGGATTCATGGCAAACCTGACCTGGATCTAGATGGGTGTTCACGTCTAGCAGCACTATTCTGGTGGGAAGAGATTAACTGCATTATTAGCAGTGATGATGCTTTTGTTAGATAGATGTCACACTAGGATATTTGCACCTGACTGAAGCAAGATCCTCTTAGTGATCTGGTATCTGGAGAGGAAGGCAGAGAAAGGAAATTCACAACAATTGGTAATTGACCAGGGCTCCATTTCCAGGGCTTGACTTTCCTGGTGGCTCAGACAGTAAATTGTCTGCCTACAATGCAGGAGACCCGGGTTCAATCCCTGGGTTGGGAAGATCCTCTGGAGAAGGAAATGGCAACCCACTCCAGTATTCTTGCCTGGAAAATCCCATGGACGGAGGAGCCTGGTAGGCTACAGTCCATGTGGTTGCAAAGAGTTGGACACGATTGAGCGAATTCACTTTCACTCTTCTTTCCAGTTCCAGTGGACAGTTGGCATGCAGAGTAGGAATTGGGCAAAAGGACAGGACACTTGGGGAAGGGAAAAATGTTAAGACTATAACAGTTTCAGCATATGAGAGCCTATGGGATCATGTGAGGGCACTGTGATCAGGACTTGAGGTGACAAGACCAATTTTAGCCCAACTCCTGTTGGGGATGAGATGCTAATGTACTGTCAAACTGAGTGAATTTTGTTAGAAACCAGGAAGACTTGAGCTGCCAGGTTGAAAGACTTAGTAACTGTTGATTTATGGGGCTAGGAAAGGCAGGGACTGATAAATCCCAAACCTTTTGGAGTGCTGAAACCCCATACAATCTGTTTCATTTCATGACCCATATAACTGTGGTATGCCATATGTCGATATAAAATAATTAAAGCTAATTAAAATTAATTTTGGTTGGTGAGTATTTGAAGAGCTTCATAATAACTCTTGAGATGACTGGAGATGCTTTGGGATGTCACAAAAGGAGCATTTGCAATAACGGGGCTAGATGTTTAACCCAGATGTGTGAGATGAAAGCTAGAAACAGAATGACAATTCTGTGGTTGAAAGAACACTGGAATAGGAGTTAGGAGTTGTAATCATTGTGCTGGGAAAGTGATTATCTGAAAACAACAACAACCTGGTTTTGCAGCACTTGCCAGTTTCTGTGCTGTAAATACCCCCACTGTGGTGGGTTTCAAATTATCAACAGTTTTACTGTTGGCTCACATAATTCTTGAATAATTAATAATCACACTTTGGTAAGCCCAATGCAAGACAAGCCCAGTACATCTAGATCATCTTAACTGAGCTTCTAGCTAGCTATGTGATGTTGACTAAATCACTTTATCTCTCTGGATCTGCTTTTATCACCAACCAAATGAAGTTGCTAAAATAACCTGTAAGATCTTCCAAAGTTAACATTTCAGTGACACAGCTGTGTTACAGGGCAGGGCTGTGCTGTGCTTAATCTCTCGGTCATGTCTGATTCTTTGCGACCCCATGGACTGTAGCCCTCCAGGCACCTCTGTCCTTGGGGATTCTCCAGACAAGAATACTGGAGTGGGTTGCCATGCCCTCCTCCAGGGAATCTTCCCAACCCAGGGATCTAACCCAAGTCTCGCGCATCACAGGAGGATTCTTTACTGTCTGGGCCACCAGGGAAGCCCAAGAATACTGGAGTGGGTAGCCTAGACCTTCTCCAGGGGATCTTCTTGACCCAGGAATTGAACTGGGGTCTCCTGCATTGCAGGCAGATGCTTTACCAGCTGAGCTACCAGGGAAACCCTTGGGGCAGAGCTAACATCATGTTATAAGCCAAAAGAGATGTTATTGTGAGATATTGGGACACATAATTTGACATCTGAGCCTGTGTTGTAATCAACCATGTTCTGATTCCTGTGGTCATTGTGTGTGTCCTTTTCCAGTACCTCTTTCCTGGAGGATTAAAAATGACAGTGTGGTTATTAGTGAGCCAAGCCTCAAAGCCTACCAGTGCGGTAAGAAACCACGACCCAGAGTCAGAGAATTCTACATTCAGCTGTCATGTCCTCAGAGTCAGTTGAAGGGCTGTGGCAAAAGCCTTTTCTTAAAAAATTAATTAATGAATTAGGCTCTGTCAGGTCTTGGTTTCAGCATGTAGGATCTTCCTTGTGGTGCACGGACTCCCTAGTTGTGGCACTTGGGTCCAGAATGTGTGGGCTCAGTTGCTCCATGGCCTGTGGGATCTTAGTTCCCTAACCAGCAATTGAACCCTTGTTCCCTGCCTTGCAGGATGGCTTCTCAACCACTGGGCCACCATGGAAGTCCTCTGTGTCATAATCTTATAGCTTAGGTACCTTAGCCTCTCTGATCACGAGATCAACCATGGACCCTTAGTCCAGGCCTTCCCTGGACTAATAAACAGCATGACAGGTTAATTTGCTCATAGAGTTTTGATGAAAAGGACTAGTGTCCTTCATTCTTATGTGTGTCAAATCCTGGCACACAATAAGGACTCAGTAAGTGTTTGCTGAAAGAAAGGATAAACATCTGAGCCTTTTTAGAGCAAATTCTGAGTTTGATTTGTATTTTCTCCCAGCTCTATTGAGATATAATTGATGTATAACATTGTACAAATTTAAGGTAGACAGCATGATGATTTGCTAAATTTTAAAATATTAATTCAAAAGTAGACATGAGCTTCTTTGTGTTCACCTGAAGAAATGTATTTCTCAAACAAGAGAAATTATGTTCTTGTTGTAATAGAAACTTCTCAGTGCCTTCAATTCAGTATTGAGCATTTAAATTTGCCTTCCATCTAGATAACACAACTGATGCACAGTCAGAATCCAATGGAGAGAAATTTGAATGAGAAAAACCTAAACCAGGCATTTACTACCCACCAGTGAATACTCTGGGCTGCTCCAGTGGCTTAGCTGGTAAAGAATTTGCCTGCAATGCAGGAGACCTGGGTTCGATCTCTGGGTTGGGAAGACCCCATGAGAAGGAAATGGCAACCCACTCCAGTATTCTTGCTTGAGAAATCCCGGACAGTGGGGCTGGGTGGGCTACAGTCCATGGGGTCACAAAGAGTCGGACACAAGTGAGCAACTAACACACACAAGGTGTACTCTGCCTACCTTAGCCAGTAGAATTAGCTCATTTCTTTTGAAACGGAAAGATAATACTTATTTATAAAGCATACATAATTATATATCATTACCAACATTTAAAGGCATACCTCATTTTATATCGCTTCAGTTTATTGTGTTGTTTTACAACCTGAAGTCGGGGCAAAGCTTCGTTGAGCAAGTCTCACGGCACCACCTTCCCAATAGCACTTGCTCACTTTGTGTCTCCACGTCACATTTTGGTAATTTTGGCAATATTTCTTTTGTTTTCTTTTTCATTTTGTATGCTGGCAGTAGTTCAGATTTTCCCATTGTGATCATATTTGTTATAGTGATCTGTGATCAGTGATGTTTGATATTACTATTGTAATTGTTTGGGCACTTTTTAGCAATAGAGTATTTTATATTCATTTATTTGTTTGTGGTTCGCTGTGTCAGCACCTAGTTGTGGCTCGAGGGCTCAGTAGTTGTGGGTTTAATTGCCCTGTGGCATGTGGGAGCTTAGTTCCCCTACTAGGGATGGAACGCGTGTCCCCTGCCTTGGAAGGTAGATTCTTAGCCACTGAGCCACAAGAGAAGTCCCCAAGGATTTTAAAATTAAGGTATATACATTAAAAAAAAAATTATTTGTTTATGTTTGGCTGCACTGGGTCTTTTTTTGTGTTTTGCTCTTACGTTTTGCTGAACATGGGCTTTCTCTAGTTGTAGCGAGAAGGCTTCTCATTGCAGTGGCTTCTCTTGTTGCAGAGCATGGGCTCTAGAGTGCAGGGTCAGTGGTTGTGGCACATGGGCTTAGTCATCCCATGGCCTGTAGAATCTTCCAGACCAGGGATCAAACCTGTGTTCCCTGCATTGGCAGGTGGATTACCAACCACTGGATCACCAGGGAAGTCCTACCATTTTTTTTTTTTTTAGACATACAGCTATTGCACAGACATACAGCTATTGCACACAGTAGGCTTCAGTATCATGTACAACAGAACTTTTATTTGCACTGGGAAACCAACAGATTCATATGACTCATTTTATTTCAGTGGTCTGGAATTTAACTCACAATATCTCTGAAGTCAGCCTGTGGTCCTCATGATGACCCTCCTAAGTTAAGTATTGTTATTCCTCTTTCAAGGTATCTACCAGACCCAGGGTTCAAGCCCACGTCTCCTGAGTCTCCTGCATTGGCAGGCGGATTCCTTACCACTAAGCCACCTGGGAAAACCCACCTTGTTATTCTTCTTTCAGAGAAGAAACAGAGGTTGAGCAATAGAGCCGCCCGTGGCCCAGAAAGGAGTTAACAACCCGTAGGTGGCGCTCTTCCCCCCAGCCCAGGCTGCCTCCGGGCTTTCCGCACTTCCTCTCCTTGGGATCTCTGTTCTTTGCTGTGCAAGTTTGGATTCTTTCCCATGTGCAGGAACCTGGCTCAGCCCACTGCCAGGCAAACGGAAGCAGCAGCCTCTGACTGGGTTCTGGGCAAACACGCCAAGCCGGGTCTGGATGAAGGAGGGAGCTGGCCTGTACTTTGCCCTCGTGAATCAGCGCATGGAGGCTGGGCAGTTGCAAAGGTAGCTGACAGGCTGTAGATCTGAGAGCCAGGTAAGTCTTGGTAGATGTGGCACCTGGACTTTGACAGTGTCTAGGAGGGGAGAAGACACTCCGGGAGCGCGCGAAGGGAAGGTGGCGGCTGTCAGAGCAGGTGTGTGGGGACGCTAGCGCCCTTGTGGGCTTTGTCTGGGCTGTGCTTGCTGTGCTGGTTAAATTAGGAAAGGCAATATTGATCTTAGTGGGGCCAGGGAAGGTCGTTTATGTGGATGCGTGAGTATGACTTGTCCCTGTGCATGTAATACCTTCATTTGAAGTATCTTAAGTGCTTTTCACTTGGGGTCCTTAATTGTAACCTGAGCCCTAACTTGCTGGAATTGATATATTGGCAACAGTAATCAACTGTAGTTGACTTTGGCGAACGGAGTGGGTAATGTGTATTTGCAGTCAGAGAAGGGCTGTCTAGTGAAAATATCTGGGGATGAGGTGGAAGAGGCTTTCATCTTTTTTTTTAATAGATAATTTTTTTTTGATGTGGACCATTTTTAAAGTTTTTATCTATAAATTTGCTTCAGTGTTGTTCCTATTTTATGTTTTGGTTTTTTGGCCATAAGGCATGTGGGCTCTTAGCTACCTGACCAGGGATTGAACCCATACCCCCTGCATTGGAAGGTGAAGTCTTAACCACTGGACCACCAGGGAAATCCTGAGGCTTTCTTCTTGTTGAGCTTCCTTGTGTCCAAATGCTTTCAAATTCCATAGGCCTTCAGGAAAGACTCAGGTAGCCTTTCATTGTGTCTGGGGCATTTGGCCTTTGCTGGGGTTTTCTGGAAAAGGCTCTCGTTACACCTGACTTTTTCAAGGAAGTAAGCTGGCATGGGAAGGAAGGTGCAAGTTTTCCTGAGCTGTGATTGCTCTGGAGGTAGAAGGCACTTCTACGCCTTGTTCTTCTGGTGCATTCTGCTTACAGCTCTCTGCTCAAAGCTGTGGACCCTGGCTCCTCGGCATTGGAGCAGAGTGACATCTTGATTTCAACACACACACCCTTTGACCTTTGCTTCTGATATTCATTCTTATATTGGGCTGGGAGTTTCAGCAGTGGGAGCAGGTTGTGGATCCGATCAGAACTTTTCAACCTAACATAGTTCCCAAGGGAAAAGGAGCATGGAGCATGGAGCCGTGTATACTCATGACAACAGGAGACTCCTGATCAGCTCTAAGGGGTGATGGGTACTTTTGTTTGGAGGCAGCTGGGTGCCGGTGCTGCTCTGTGATACAAGCAGAGAAGCTTGGAGGGTAACTCGTCCTTGGGAGCTATGTCCCATTTCGAAGAATAAATGGGAAAAACCAGTTTGATCCTGGGGTGACTTCCAGGTTTTAAAATCTCCAGGCAGGAAAATTACTGAGACATGGCTCTCTAGTTTGTCACTGAAGCAATCCCAAACCCTGCGTCTCCTCACCTCCCCTGGAGGAGGGGCAGGCATGGGCAAGTTATAGAGCACAGTTCTCTAAGACTTTAAGGATTTAGAAAAGATGTCTCTTGAAGTCACTTTAAGCTTCTTCTTCTTCTTTTTAAACATCTATTTATTTGGCCATGTTGGGTCTTAGCTGTGGCATGTGGGATCTTTGTTGCAGGCGTGGGTTCCAGAACAAGCAGGCTTCAGTAGTTGTGGCACATGGGCTTAGTTGCCCTGAGGCATGTGGGTTCTTTCTGGACCAGCAATCAAGCCTGTGTCCCCGGCACTGGCAGAAGAATTCTTTACCACTGGACCACCAGGGAAGTCCCTAAGCTTCTTTTTATTTAGGAAATCTTTTCAGCTACTCACAATATGCTAATCTCTATCTCTGATAACACTGTTATTTATTGAACCGCTAATGTATACTAGCCATAGTGTTCAGCACTTTACATGAGTATCTCTAACTCTGACAGTGACCCAGTCAGCCAGTTATTATAGTCCTCATTTTATGGGTAAGGACATTAAGGCTGGAAAAATTTAACTCGCTCATAAGGGGCAAAGTCAGGATTTCTTTTTTTAAATTAAAAAATAATGTATTTATTAATTTTTTTTGGTTGTGCTGGGTCTTTGTGGCTGCATGCCGGCTTTCTCTAGTTTTGGAGAGTGGGGCCTACTCTCTAGTTACCATCCATGGGCTTCTCATTGCGGTGGCTTCCCTTGTGGAGCGCAGGCTCTAGGTGTAGAGGCTTCAGTAGTTCCAACATGTGGGCTCTAGGGTACGTGGGCTTCAGTAGTTGTGACACAGGGGCTCATTAGTCGTGGCTCTCGGGCCCTAGAGTGTAAGGGCTCCAGTAGTTGTGGCGTGCGGGCTCAGTAGTTGTGGCTCATAGGCTTTAGCTACTCCTCGGCATGTGAGATCTCCCTGGTGTGCTAAGTAACTTCAGTTGTGTCAGGCGAGAATACTGGCATGGGTTGCCGTGCCCTTCTCCAGGGGATCTTCCCTACCAACGGGTTGAACCCGTGTCTCTTTTGTTTCCAGCACTGGCAGGCAGATTCTTATCCACTTTACCACCAGGGAAGTTCAGAGTTAGGATCTGAACTGGGTCTAGCTCTGTCCAAAGCCCACTTGATTTCTACGGCAACATAGCGCCTCCTGAATAACTATTTGTTGGTGGAATAGGTGAGCACACATGTCTTTAATCGGAATACTTTGATTGTGTTTTGGAGCTTCATCTATTATTGTTCTCTCTCCTGGGCCTCCCACATCTATTGTTGCTCCAAATATACTTCTAAATTTTTATAACAAGCTCAGTATAATTGTCTAGCCTGTTATTTATTTCAAGTATCCACTTGCGATTTTTTCAGACATCTCTGTCTCAATGCCTGTGTGGTTTGTTTTAGATAGAAGATTTTTGAGGACCATCGGTGCTTCTTTCACAAAACCTAATTAAGCATCATGCTTGGATATAGGCCTAAAATGATAATTTGTTTTGTTTTTGTTTTGTCTGGCAGGAAGATAAATAACTACATAGCTGACTCAAAACACTAGAGAAATTCAGAAGATCTAGGATGGAACCTTGGATTCCCCAGTGGCTGCCTCAGCCATCAGGGAGGCCCCCAGCACCATCAAAGGATCCAGACCGAGGGCTTCGGAGAGATAGATACTATCAGCCTATTCCTCACTCTTGGCACGATGGAGAGAGGGTCCATCAAAGGCAAGACTTGGGCCGGAGCCCCCAGCCACAGCAGGACCTCAGGGCAGACCACCAGGAGCCTCACTATGCAGCCAGACCTGGGGAATGGCATCCACCTGTGTCTGGGGTTGACTATTACAAAGGCAGTTATCCCAGTCAATTGTATTCAAGGTATGAGTTTAGAGCTTGGACTTGACCCAGCTCTCCCAAATGCTTATGAACAGATCATTCTTTTCCGTCTTCCTTTTCCTTTTATTTCTCTTCTTCCTTTTCCTCCTCCTACTACACTGACTTAGCTAAACCCTTTCCTCTCCCAGGCTGGATTTTGGTGGCTGAAAATATAGTTTATTTCCCTTTATTAGTCCCTAGGGGAGCTTCTTAAGAAGCCATCACAATGCGATTGGGTGTTGGGGGCAGAGGAGAGAGTAGAAAGAATGGTGAAATTCAAGACGGCAGATGAGACCCTCTTACTCTGGGATCACAAAAGGCCGGATTTGTGGACTATGGAAAAGCTTTTCCTATGGATGTCTATAAAAAGTTCCTTATCCTCTTTGATGACTCTCCCAGGGTTAGCACCAAACCCACCCGCAACATAAGAGTCCTAGTGCCTAGAACAGCACCTACAGTGTGATGCCTACACAGAAAATATATACACTGAGTGAATGAATGGGAACTTAAAAAAATCAGAGAGTGGATAGAAGCTTGTAGTCTCCCAGTTCAGAATGAAAAGGTCTCTGTGAGGTGATTCTGGGAGAATCTGGAGTTTTTACTCCTGGCCTTCATATTTTATGGAATGTTGCAAGCCATCTATTTTTTACTTTAGCTCTTTCAGGTGAGATGATATTTTCCTGCCTCTAGGTTTAAGGTTGAAATTATGACAGTTATTATAAAGAATTCTGTCCCTATGAAATAGTAAAGAATTATTAATTGATAAAAATAGTGTTGAATTCTTGAAGGAAGGTCTGTTAAGGGTAGAGGCAATAACAGCAAGCATATTTAAGATGGTCCAATTTGACTTTTCCATCTCATTTCCATCTATAATATGCATGGGAATTACAGTGGTGGGAATAGCAGACAACCTGACCTGCCTCTTGAGAAACCCGTATGCAGGTCAGCAAGCAACAGTTAGAACTGAACATGGAACAACAGACTGGTTCCAAATAGGAAAAGGAGTATATCAAGGCTGTATATTGTCACCCTGCTTATTTAACTTATATGCAGAGTACATCATGAGAAACACTGGGCTAGAGGAAGCACATTGTTCATTGGAAGGACTGATGCTGAAGCTGAAACTCCAGTACTTTGGCCACCTGATGGGAAGAGTGGACTCATTGGAAAAGACCCTGATGCTTGGAGGGATTGGGGGCAGGAGGAGAAGGGGGCGACAGAGGATGAGATAGCTGGATGGCATCAGCGACTTGATGGGCATGGGTTTGAGTAAACTCCGGGAGTTTGTGATGGACAGGGAGGTCTGGCGTGCTGTGATTCATGGGGTCGCAAAGAGTCGGACACGACTGAGCGACGGAACTGACTGACTGATTGTGTACTTTACACAATTATCTTGGGAAGGGGTTTCCTAAGGTGATATCAGGTCAGAGTTTTCTTAGATAATATTTCGTTTTGTTGGATGTGTGTATTTGAGGAGTAAGAGGGATCATGAGGAAGGAGAAGAGACACTTGGCTGTGGTTTTACTGTAAATATTGCAGCCTTGTTCTGACACGATGATCCTATTCCTGCTCCAATACTAGATTTTTGGTTGTAGGATGAACCATAGCTTTAGAGAAGATTCTAGATGGGTGTCACAGTTTTGTCCTCTGAAGTTGTTTTGTTTGTCAAGTCCTTCATTGTTTTTCTTTTAAAAAAATCATTTATTTATTTGGCTGTGCCAGGTCTTAGTTGTGGCAGTTAGGATATTTGATCTTTGTTGCGGTATGTGTAATCTTTAGTTGGAGCATGTGGGATCTAGTTCACTGACCTGGATCATCCCAGGTTCCCTGCATTGGGATCATGGAGTCTTAGCCACTGGACCGCTGGGAAAGTTGCTCTCCATTGGTTTTTCTCTTTGCTATGCTCATCCTTCAATGAGTGGCCTTCTTTGTGATTCTTTAGGTGGGGCATTGAGGATCTCTATCAGAACTATTACTCTCCAGCCCTAAGGGAAGAATATGCTTATGGAAGTTATTACTACCATGGACACCCACAGCAGCTTCAGGAAGAAAGAGGTATGGAATAATCTCCAAGAAGCCTTTGGGATGGTACCACTGATATGACAGGGCAGAGGCCAAAAGGGCCATGCTCGGAGCCTCATCCTAGGCCTCCACCCCCACTCCCTCTCATCCCCGCCTGCTTCTTTCTTGGTCAGATGAGGCCACAGCAAACATACTGCTGCTAGATGTCTTGAGAAGAGATAGAAAAGAGTCACTTTTCTTTGTACATGTAGGCATAGTTGATGGTACTGAAACTGTTATTATGTTATTAGTGTTACTGATAGTTTGTACTTCATCCATTTTTTTTTTCTACTCCTCATTATGATCAAGATTATAGTCTCTCCCTGACCAAGTAGCAGTGAAGTCAGTTCTTGACAGTGAAGTCATCAAGTGTGTGGCTGGGCTGTAGTGAGTCTGACCATCACAGAGTGGCAGATTTGTGCAAAAAGGAATTTATACCCTGTATCAATAGTAAGGATTTAGATATGTGTTAATGGCAGCTTCTGACCTGCTAGCAAAGAGAAAAATCTGTTTCAGTACTGAAAACACAAACATACACACACACACACATACACACAGAAGATCCCCACGATTGCACCGTCCTATACAGTCATGCTGATTGGTTCAGAGAAGACTGAGGTTCATCTTACAGACTTACACTCTTGGCTTTCACGTACCAACCTTACTCAATTTGGCAAATACAGTCAGCCCTCTGAATCTGCAGGTCTGCCTCCAACTGATGATCAAAAATTTTTGAAAAAAAGATTATTCCAAAACTTAAAACTTGAATTTGTTGCTTGCTGGCAACTATTTACATAGCACCTATGTTGTATTTACAACTATTTACATAGCGTTTATATGGCAACCCACTCCAGAATTCTGGCCTGGAGAATCCCCTGGACGGAGGAGCCTGGTGGGCTGCTGTCCATGGGGTTGCACAGAGTCGGACACAACTGAAGCAACTTTGCATGCATGCATGCATATGGTATTATTAGTATTTAGAAGTCATATAGAGATGATTTGAAGTTTATGGAGGACATGCATAGATTATATGCAAATATTACACCATTTTATTAATATATAAGGGAATTTAACTTTCCAAGGTCCTGAAACCAATCCCCTAAAGCATACAGAAGGATGACTGTATGTCTTTATACCTGCCATGCTCCAATAACCCAGCTTTACAACTTGCTAGTATCTCCAAACTTTTAGGAATAGGAAGTGACCTGTCTTTGTTTTGTTTTCTCTGAGGGTGCAGTGCCAAGGCAAGGGAGTCCTTATATCTGGCAGGAAGATCATCGAGATCAAAAGTACCTCAATGATCATCAACATGAAAACCAGAATAGTCCCTTTGGAACAAACAGGGAGACCCAGTTCCAGTAAGTGTGAAAGGAGAGGCTGGTTCAACATGATTCAGCCAAATTCAGACTATGTCATCTGGTACTGGTCCCTCATCTTCAGAAGCCTGTCTGCTTTTGTTCTGGCTACAGGGATGGAGCTCAGGCTGGCCCGAGCCAGCTGTTCTCATGGACCCTGGAAGGAGGGATTCTTAATTCTGAGCAGCAGTTCCCCAGACCTGCCTAAGTCCCCAAACCTGTGAGGTTACTTGAGGTCCGTCTTGAAGGAGGGCCTTAATTCTGTGTTGGCCTTGGGACAGATGTGGCCTTGCAGAAGTTCTCATGATTGCATCCTGCCTGGGGATGGGGTGCTTCTCCTCTGCCCAGTCCTGTGCCCTAAGAATGGTCTCTCCCCCGGGGTGAGAAGAGCAGGGAAGAGCATTTTGTACATGTAGCTGTCTGGTACCCTGAGGCCTTTCCCCTGCCTGAAACTCACCAACCCGCCTGCTCTGATTTAAGTCATTCTGGGATGCCAGGCCACAGAGACCCAGCATTCTCTGCAGAGTTTGGGGCCACTTCTAGTAACTAACTGTACTATGAACCCCGGGAGTTCCTGTTTTTCTGGTTTAATAGACTGTGGCAGCACAAGGGAGGACAAGGCTTTTCCCTGTGGCACGTGGGTCAACCCGACACCTGCCCACACTTTGCAGCAGAGCAGCCTCCAGTACAGAGCAGCTCAGCCTTGCTGGCCTGCCCTGGACCCCCCCTCACATGCTCCTGTCATTTTGCTGCAGATCTAAGAGTCAGAATCCTTATAAAGACAGTCCTGCTTCTAACTCTGGACAGGAGAGGCCCGGGGACCTGTTCATGGAGAGTCCGCTGACTGGGGCCGAGAAAAACAAGGTAACCTGAAGTGACACAGGGCTGGTGGTCTGTGACAGGGCATCTCCGCTGACATCATCAGCAGTGGCAGGGCAGGGCCCTGGGGGTGGGGGTCCCTGGTGCCAGCAGTCTAAAGGGTACCATTCCTCCCCTCTTGGCAGAGCCTCCATGCCCATGTCCTCCTTTCCCTGTTTCCTGTTCCAATCTTCTGGGTCTGGGGACCTTATCGAGCCCTTTTGCATTTTTCTTTTTTCTTTTGCCAAGTTAGCTGTCAGAAAATATCACCCAAGTCACTCCAAGGTGGGAAAGAAAAGAAATGTTACTGGTACCCCAGTGGACTAGCAATTTGGTTTACTCAGGAAGTGGGAAGTTGCTAGCATCTTTTAATTTGGGTATGAAAAGCAGACTGTGAAACCTTTCTTGACTCTTCCATTTCTGTCTTCTGAAATCTTACTGTGTGTACCAGTTGGGCTATGAAATGGAGCTCCTGAATTTTTTAAACTTTCAATTTTGGAATAACTTTAGACTTATGGAAAAGTTACAAGAGACAAGGTCTTAATGTTTGACAGTCTTGTATTAATCTTCTATCCCTGATTAGATTTGTATGATTTGGGGGAACAGTTTCTTCTGTATACCTAATACTTAACAGGGCTGGGCACCTATTAGGACTAACAGTAACAACAACACAGTAACAGCAGTCGTGTATGAGTACAGTGCTTGACAGAGTGGACAAAGAGCTTTTGTATCCATTGTTTGCATCTGTTTTACAATCCTCCCAGAATATAAGTTCTGTGAATTTCTTTTTTAAAAAATATTTATTTATTTGGCTGTACTGGGTCTTAATTGTGGCATGCATCTTCATTGCAACATGCAGGATTTTTTTAGTTGCGGCATGTGGAATTTTTTAGTTGTGGTGTGCAAATTTTTAGTTGCATCATGGGGGATCTAGTTCCCTGACCAGGGATCGAACCTGGGCCCCTTGTATTGGGAGCATGGAATCTTAGCCCCTGAACCACCAGGGAAGTTCTTTTATACCTGTATCCTAAGGGAAAGCATTACACCTGGAGCATAGTAAGTGCTCATTAAACAGTTGGTGAATGAATGCAGGTGGTAAGTACTTGAACTATATTGGATAGGTATGATTCTCTACATTACAAATGAAGGTACTGAGCTTAGAAAGTCTATGTCACTTGTTCAAGGTCACAGAGCCTGGTATTAACAAAGTTGGGATTTGAATTAAAACCCCCTGACCCCAGGACCTGCTCTCTACCCATGGGGCCAAAATGAATCCCTTAGTGAGAACTGTCAGTTGAATGATCCCTTCTTTTCCTTTCAATATGTCCACATTCATTAGATTTATTTGAAAGTTTGAATTTTGTTGCTTTGAAGAAACACTGGAGGACTGTCTCTCTGAAAGTGCCTCTGATTCTTCCCATGTGTTCTTGTTGTTTTTAACTTCCAGCCGTCTCTGATAGAGGAGTCCAACCTTCTCTGGCAGCATGAGTCTGGTCTCACCTCCAGCAGCTACGAGCTCAGTCAGTACATGGCAGATGCTTCCGAGCTCCAAGACCCCATGACTTCAGCAGTCTGGAGCCCAGTTCAGGCTGGTGGGTACTGACGTGATTAAAGGAGTTGGCTGAGTCTGATGAGAAGAGGGCTGGGTGGCACATCTCTTGGAAGGTCAACTTTACCTGGTATTTCCAAGAGTAGAGCCTTTGTCTGACTCATTTACATGTGTAGGTCCCCTGGACAGAGTGGCCAGCTTTGGCTCCATTCCCTGTCTTTTCTTTTGTCCTGAAGAATGCATCATAGCTGATTCTTGGAAAGGAACACTGCCCTTGGCCATCATCAGGTTGGGAGAGGAGGCCCTCAGAGGTATTGTAGGTAACAAGGGAAGAAAGTAAAGACCAGAGTCAGTTTGGGAAAGTGAAGGCAGGTCACAAAGGTCTGGATGTAAGAGATTTGCCCTGAGTATTGGGGCTATGAGAGCCAGTCCCCAACCTGTCACCCTCTTGATAGTGTAGGCCTGGTACATTATTGTTTGGACCAAACTGTCAATTCCTTGCATTATATTCTTCTTTTTTAAAATTAATTTTTTATTGGAGTATAGTTGATTTACAATGTTGCTATTTTCTGCTGTACAGAAAAGTGAATCAGCCATATATACACACATATCCCCTCTTTTTTGGATTTCCTTCCCATTTAGGTCACCATAGAGCATTGAGTTGAGTTTCCTGTGCTATACAGTAGGTTCTCTTAGTTTTCTATTTTATACCTGATAGTGTATATATGTAAATCCCAATCCATCAATTTATCCCATGCTCCCTTCCCCCCCTTGATGTCCATACTATGTCTGTGTCTCTCTTTCTTCTTTGCAAATAGGTTCATCTGTACCATTTTTCTAGATTCTACATATATGCCTTAATATATAATGTTTGTTTTTCTCTTTCTGACTTGCTTCACTCAGCAAGAAAGTCTCTAGGTCCATCCACATCTCTTCAAATGGCACAATTTTGTTCTTTTTATGGCTGAGTAATATTCCACTGTGTATATGTGCCATGTCTTCTTTATCCATTTCTCTGTCAATGAACATTTAGGTTGCTTCCATGTCTGGGCTATTATAAATAGTGCTGCAATAAACATCAGGGTGCATGTATCTTTTGGAATTATGGTTTTCTCTGGGTATATGCCCATGAGTGGGCTTGCTCGGTCATATGGTAGTTCTGTTTTTAGTTTTTTAAGGAACCTCCACACTGTTCTCCATAGTGACCGAACCAATCCACTTTCCTACAAACATTATAAGAGGGTTCCCATTTCTCCACACTGTCCCCAGCATTTTTTGTTTGTAGCTTTTTTGATGATGGCCATTCAGACCAGTGTGGGTGATATCTCACTATAGTTTTGATTTGCATTTCTCTGTAATTAGTGATGTTGAACATCTTTTCATGTGCCTCTTGGCCATCTGTTTGTTTTCTTTGGAGAAATGTCTATTTAGGTCTTTTGTTCATTTTTTGATTGGATTGTTTGTTATTTTGATATTGAGCTACATGAGCTGTTTATATATTTTGGACATTAGTCCCTTGTGTGTTGCTTCATTCGCAAATATTTTCTCCTATTCTAAGTGTTATTTTTTGGGGGCTTTGTTTACAGTTTCCTTTGCTGTGCAAAAACTCTTAAGTTTAATTAGGTTCCACTTGTTTACTTTTGTTTTTATTTTCATTACTCTAGGAGATGGGTCAAAAGAAGTTCTTGCTGCGATTTGTCAGAGTGTTCTGCCTGTTTTCATCTAAGAGTTTTATAGTGTTGGCCTTACATTTAGGTCTTTAACCCATTTTATGTTTATTTTTGTGTATATAGTGTTATGGAGTGTTTTAATTTCATTCTTTTACATGGGTTGTTCAGTTTTCCCAGCATCACTATTGAAGAGATTATCTTTTCTCCATTATCAAATACTAGGTAACCGTAGGCGTGTGGGTTTATTGCTGGGCTTTCTAGCCTGTTCCATTGATCTATATTTCTATTTTTATGCCAGTACCATACTGTCTTATTACTGTAGCTTTGTAGTATAGTCTAAAGTTAGGAAGCCTGATTCTTTCAGCTCTTCTTTTCTTTCTCAAGACTGTTTTGGCTATTCAGGGTCTTTTGTGCTTCCACACAAATTACAAAATCTTCTGTTCTAATTCTGTGAAAAAATTCAATTGGTTATTTGATAGGGATTGCATTGAATATGTAGATTGCTTTGGGTAGTACAGTCATTTTTACAGTATTAATTCTCCTAGCCCAAGAACATGGTATATCTCTCCATCTTTTTGTGTTGTCTTTGATATCTTTCATCAGTATCTTATAGTTTTCTGAGTACAGGTTTTTTAACCTATTTAGGAAGGTTTATTCCTAGGTATTTATTCTTTTGGTTGCAATGGTAAATAGAATTGCTTCCTTAATTTCTCTTTCTGATCTTCCATTGTTATTGTACCAGAATGCAAGAGATTTCTGTGCATTAATTTTGTATACTGAAACTTTACCAAATTCATTGATTAGTACCAGTAGTTTTCTGGTGGCCTCTTTAAGATTGTCTATGTTTAGTATCATGTCATTTGCAAACAGTGATATTTTTACTTCTTTTCCAATTTGGATTCCTTTTATTTCTTTTTCTTCTCTTATTGCCATGACTAGGATTTCTAAAATTATGTTGAATGATAATGATGAGCACAAGCATCCTAGTGTTGTTCCTGATCTTAGAGGAAATGCTTTCAGTTTTTCATCATTGAGAATGATGTTTGCTGTGGGTTTGTCATGTATGGCCTTTATTATGTTGAAGTAGGTTCCCTCTATGCCCACTTTCTGGAGAATTTTTTTTTTTATCATAAATGGGTGTTGAATTTTGTCAAAAGTTTTTCCTGTATCTATTGAGATGATTGTATGGTTTTTATTCTTTAATTTGTTAATATGGTACATCACATTGATTGATTTGCATATACTGAAGAATCCTTGCATCCCTGGGATAAATCCCACTTGATCATGGTGTATAATCCTTGTAATATGTTGTTGGATTTGGCATTATAGTCTGACATATTATTAAAGGCATAAATCTGACTTAGAGCATGTATTTCTTCTAATTATGTAACCCACCCAGAATCTTATCTTGGTCCCAGGTGAAATTTGGAAAGAAATATGTCTGTGGAATATTTCTTACATAAAGCAAAGCAGTGGTAGTAATGCTAACAGTGTCCACCTGTATTGGTTGGTCAGAGGACGTCTCAGCAGCTGGTCCCAAGGAACCCATGAAGTTCTATGTCCCTCACATGCCTGTGAGTTTTGGGCCAGGAGGTCAGCTGGTGTGTGTGAGTCCCAGCTCTCCCAGTGATGGACAGACAGCCCTTGTTGAACTGCACAGCATGGAGGTAAACAAGATTCTGTGTTCCTTGAATGTCAACATGTTACTCCCGGCTCCCCTTTGCCTGAGCCCTGGCATCTCCATGAATCTCTTGGAGGGGCCTGAGCCATGTACCCTGTGGATTGGGGTGTGTGTGTGTGTGTGTGTGTGTGTGAAGGAATGTGTGCACTCTCCTCTGAAAGAAGTAATGCTAGACTGATGTTTTACCTGTGATGCTGTTGGCTCATATCCAGCAACTAGAGAGCTCTTTTTTGTCTTTCTGCTTTCTCCATGAGGCATTAAGCCTCATCCTAGGACCACAGCTCTGGGTTCTGATACTGGACTCAACCGAGGAATGGGGCACTAGGGGGACATAGTCTTGAAGACCAAACCTGAGTTTTTTGTTCCAGGTTATTCTTAATGATTCTGAGGAACAGGGAGAGATGAGGACTTTCTCAGGACCGCTGATCAGGTAAATCATCATAAAAGTTGCCAAATAAGGGCTTTTGAAACCTATAAAATCTTCCTGCCCAAATCAGCATTTTGGGGATTTGGGCTTGGCTTCCTTTGAAAGAAAATATCTGTCCCCATTGGAATGGAATCTTTGTGCTACAAGTTGGAGACAGATGTGGCCTGAGCCATTTTGACAAGCAATTTGAGTGCTGAAAGACAGAAAAAGGTTTAAAAATCTGAAATCAGTTTATTTTACAAAGGCTATGTGGTAGGAGGTTTTAATATTCTGGGTACCTAATAATAATATGATTTCCTATGGGAAATCACAGGCAAGTTGCTCACATGGAAAACATTTTTCTAGAGAGATGTATAACCCAGTCAGCATGAGTTACTAGACAGTGTGCAAGTCTGCCCTCTGCAGGATTGAGCTAGAACTGCTTTTACATTCCTAGTCATGTTTCTGATAAATATTGAGGATGTTCTTTGCTGTGGAGAGAAGAGTTCACCCTGGTGTCAGAGGTGAGATAATGCATTCTGAAGCCCTTTAAATATCATCACAACTATACAGATGTGTCCTTATCCCGAAGCTTCCCCCTCCAAGAAAATCCCCAGGGTATTTTGACAGTTCCTTCAAGTAAAAATGAATTGTTGTCTCCATTTTTTACACACAGGTGTAGCGATGTGACCTAGAGTACCGAGTTGGGTATTTTGGACACCTAGGGTACTGATCCCCATTTGATTGACTTCATTAAATAATCTCAAGCAAATAATGTCTAATTCCTGTCTATTGAGCACTTTATATATGCTACACAGTTGGCTAATTCCTTTTTGTATGCGGTAGGCTTTAACACAGTGTTTTAATAGAAATACAGTTGATTTCCAATGCTGTGTTAGTTTCACATATACAGCAAAGTGATTCAGTTATATATAAATCTGTTCCTTTTCAGATTCTTTTCCACTGTAGGTTATTATAAGACATTGAGTTGGAGGTAGACTTTTAAAGAAATTTTACTTTATTAGTTTCAGCTGCACTAGGTCTTCGCTGCTCCACGCGGGCTTTCTCTCGTGGGGAGCGGGGGTACTTCTGTTGCAGTGGACTGGCTTCTCCCTGTGGTGGCTTCTCCTGGTGGAGCACAGGCTCTAGGCCTGCAGGCTTCAGTAGTTGTGGCTCACAGGCTCCGCGGTTGCAGCGCCAAGGCCTGTAGTTATGGCACATGGGTTAGTTGCTCCACAGCATGTGGAATCTTACCAGACCAGGGACTGAACTTGTGTCCCTTGTATGGGCAGGTAGATTCTTATCCATTGTACCCCCAGGGAGGCCCTGGAGGTAGACATTTTCATCACCCCTGTTTTATCAGAAAGAGCAGAGGTTCAGAGGAGACCAGCAACTTGTGTAGGCTGAGAAGTTTAGGCTAGATTTAAATCCAGGGTTGTCTGATCTCAAAGTCTGTGCTCTAACCTGCCACCCAAACAGTCATTTCAGGTCTCTGGGCCTGTTTCTTCCTCTGTAAAACGGAGACAGTGGATGAGAGAATCTCTGCGGTCCCTTCCTGTTCTATACGGAAACAACTGTCCTGTAACTTCAGACGCACTGTTCGCATCCTAGGACGTCCTGTTTCTGTTACTATCTCAGTCCCAGCCCAGGCAGCGCCCTCGCGCTGTAGGAGGGGCTTGTGGTCCTGCCCGGGGGCGGAGTCTGTCCATCACTCTTTGCTCCTTGAAATCTCTCCCTAGGGAAGACGTGCACAAGGTGGACATCATGACTTTTTGCCAGCAGAAGGCAGCACAGTGCCGCAAATCTGAGATACCGGGGGGCAGAGACTCGGCCCTACTCTGGCAGCTGTTGGTTCTCCTTTGTCGGCAGAACGGGGTCAGTATCACCGCGGCCGGAGGATGGGTAGGTGCAGGCTGGACTGAAATTTAAATTTTCCTGGGAGACAGAAGATTCGTCTTGGGGCATAATTATAAAAGGTAACATTAAAGAAGCAACAAATGGCCTCAAGAAAAGAAACTGCTGAGGTCAGTGCCACAGTGCAAACGCTAACTTTTCCCTGCCCTTCTCCACTAGCCTCTGGTTATTGCTCAGTTCTTGGGTTACTGCATCGAGCAGATAATACACCTATGAGAGTGTGCATATTGCTGGTCATCTTTGTGGCTCCTGACAGGCAGAAAATAGCCATGAGAATGAAGGTGGGGTTTCAACTACCACAATGCAAAAAGGACTGTCTTGTGTTTGCATGTGGGTCTCCTCCTGAAGAAGGCGGGTGCTCCGGTGCCCCCCTTCCGCAGCCTGGGGTACCAGCATGGCGACAAATGGGATTCTAGCTCAGGGAATGGGATTCTTTTTGCCTTGCAGTCCATGGTGGGGTCTGACATCGCCGAGCTGCTGATGCAGGACTGTAAGAAGCTGGAGAAGTACAAGAGGCAGCCGCCTGTGGCCAACCTCATCAGCCTGACGGACGAGGACTGGCCGGTGCTGAGCTCCGGGACCCGGGACCTGCTCACCGGGGAGATTCCTCCCAGCGTGGAGACGCCTGCGCAGATCGTGGAGAAATTCACTAAGCTGCTCTACTATGGAAGGAAGAAGGCAAGTGTCGCGCCCGCTCCTGCTTAAAATAGTCCCGGCAGCCTTATAGCTCACCCCTCTCCCAATGATATGAGTGACATATACTCATTTCATAACAGTTAAGTTCAGAAAGGTACAAAGGTGAAAAAAAACCAGAGTCCTACTATTAAAAGATAATACCTGTTAACATTTTGATATATTTACTTCTAGTATTTTCTATGCATATGTATCAATATTAAAAGTTAAATTAAATTACATAAACAATTTTTTTCCTTTTTTTTCCCCTTAAGACTATATGGTGAAACCCTCTCATAGCATTAAACTATGCCACTAAAAACTAGATATATTCCATTATATGAATGTATCATATTTTATGCACAATTCACTGTTGTTGACTCTATAGGCCATGTACAATTTTTCCAGTCTCTGGTAACTCATTGGGTAAAGAATCCACCTGCAATGCAGGAGACCCCCTGCATTGTGCAGGATCTTCCCCTGGGTGGAGAAGATCCCCTGGAGAAGGAAACGGCAACCCACTCTAGTATTCTTGCCTGGAAAATCCCATGGACAGAGGAGCCTGGTGGGCTACAGTCCACAGGGCTGCAAGAGCCAGACACGACTTATCCACTAAACCACCACCACCATAATCACACAATTTGAAAATCTTGTTATATAAATCTTTGGATGATCTTTTTATTATTTTCTAAGATAGATTCCTAGAAGTGGAACTACTGGGTTAAAGAGTATGTACTTTTAAAAGGCTCTTCACATATACACTAAATTAGTTTCCAGGAAGTTTGTTTACAAATGATACCTCCATCAACTATATCTAAAATATACATGTCAATACTGAATAATTCCACTGAGGAAGTGATGTCTTCTGTATTTTTTGATGTGTAAGTTAGACTTTGACATTTTTATATTATTTATTAAATTTTAAATAAAAGTATATTTGACAAGATGGTAAGATAAAGTGTACAATGTGATTGGATATATGTTGTGAAAGGATTCCCCTCACTGAGTTATTAACATATACATCACCTCACATATGTCCCTATTATTTTATACCCTAATTTTGAAGTTGAGCTCACATTTTACAGAAGTCTTAAGTGAAGTGAAGTGAAAGTCACTCAGTTGTGTCCGACTCTTTGCTACCCTCCATGGCAAGAATACTGGATTGAGTTGCATTTCAGTAAACTTAAACATTTGCATAAATGGTTGAAATAAATTCAAATCAATTAAAAATCAAAAGATAAAAGGGATATAACTGGAGAAATGATGCTGTTCCCTGCTCCATCCCAGTCATAAGATTTTTCCTCTCTGAAATATGTGGAGGTATTTCTTCCATATATAATTATTTCCTCCCTCCTTGCCCTTATAGCATATTATATATCATGTCTTCACCTTCCTTTTGTCATTTAACAAAATCTTATAGGAAACACTCTATATTGGCACTGGTAAGTTTTTTTTGTAAAGGAACAGATAGTAAGTATTTTAGGCTTTTCAGGCTTCGCTCTACTTAGTTCTGCTGTTATTGTGTGAAAACAGCCATGGATAATCTGTAAATAAATGGGTGTGGCTGTGTTTCAATAAAACTTTATTTATGGACATAGAAATTTGAATATATCACTTTCACGTGTAATGAAGCCATTATTCTTTTTTTGATCTTTTTTCCAATCATTTAAAAGTGTAAAAACTTTTTGTAGCTTGTAGGCTGTACCAAAACAGGCAGTGGGCTGAACTGGGTCTTTGGGCCGCATTTTGGTGACTCTTATTTCTTATTATATACAACTACCTTCCTCATTATTACTTACAGCTACATAGGTTTCTATAGGTGAATTATAATCAATTCAATTGAACTTCTGTAGATTGACACTTAGAGCATTTCTAGTCTTTTGCAATTACAAATAATGCTGCAATGAATAACACTGTCATTTTGCTCTGTGGAGAGAATATACGTAAGGAAAGTTTGTAGAAGTGGAAGCTTTGGATCAAAGGGGATACGGTTTGTAATTTTGATAGATATTTACAAACTGACTTTTTAGAGGTTGTACTGATTACTCTACTAATATACAAGAGTGCCTGCTTCCCCCAACTCTCACCAAGAGAGTTTCTTTTTGATATGTGCCAGTGTGAGAGGTGAAAAAAATGTATAGCAGTTATTTGCATTTTTCTTATTATAAATGAAGCTGAATATCCTTTAATCTGTGAATATTTTTGTCACAGATTTTCCACATTTTTCTGTGGATTTTTGATACCCATATATTGATTTGTAGGAGCTCTTTACTTTTTTAGGATTTTCTGTCTGAAATCACTTTTTTGGGATGATATATAGAAAGGCTTTTCCTTCTTCAAAATTAATTTATGAAAATAAAGTTGAAATACTTTTGTGACTTCACCTTTACCTTTAAATGTTTAATTGTGTGTGTGTCTTTGTATGTGATGTTATCTTTTAAATGAGAGATAGACATGATAGTGAAAATGGGATCAACATGTAACATATATGTGTGTGTATATGGTCATTATATATTTAATATATATATTCACTATATAGTAGGGACTGCTATTTCACCAGTGATTCACTTACTCAATAAACGTCTATGTAGCAGCCACTTCTTCAAAGGCATCAAACCCAGTAGGGGGATACAGAGATAAATTGTTGATAATCTCTTTCTTAACAATAAGTAATGATCATAACAACAACAATAATAAAAGAAAATATTTGAAAAATACTTTCTGTGTGTCAGATACTCACCTATCACTGTATATGCATTATCTCATTTATCTTCATAGAAACCCTCTAGTTTAGGTTCTATTCTTATTCTATGTATTTTTAAATGAGGAAAGTTAGTAATAAAGCCCAGGTTTAGATTTAGGCAGCCTGGTACCTGAGCTTGGGCTTGTAACCACCCACCACATCATCTGTCTTACTATGACCCAAAGGTAGCAAGGCTAGACAGAGCACTGTGGGAGTTCAGGGTCATCTGTGAGGAACTGGACTCCACAATATTTTTAAAATCTTATATTAACACTTGACTAGGGTCTTAATTCAGGAGAAAGCAATGGCAACCCACTCCAGTACTTTGCCTGAAAAATCCCATGGATGGAGGAGCCTGGTAGGCTGCAGTCCATGGGGTCGCTAAGAGTCAGACACGACTGAGAGACTTCACTCTCACTTTTCACTTTCATGCATTGGAGAAGGAAATGGCACCCCACTCCAGTGTTCTTGCCTGGAGAATCCCAGGGGCGGGGGAGCCTGGTGGGCTGCCATCTATGGGTTTGCACAGAGTCAGACTTAGCAGCGACTTAGCAACTTAGCAGCAGCAGCAGGATCTTAATTCTGGCATCGGGCAAGATTGATATCCTCCATATAAGTTCTCAATTCATCACTTATTCTTAATTATATTTTTGGGGATGCAGATTTTTGACTAATGTAGTAAATCCCCACCAATCAAAATGGTTGTCTGAGGAGGCCTTACAAAGAGCTTAGAAAAGAAGAGAAGCAAAAGGCAAAGGAGAAAGGGAAAGATACACCCAACTGAATACAGACTTCCAAAGAATAGCAAGGAGAGATAAGAAAGCTTACCCATCTTTAGTAAATCCTTCTAAAAAATACTACTATGAAATAGTTTAATGTACAAAAATATCAATCTTCTTTTTCCCAAAAAGAACATTTTCTTTTTTTTAAGATTTCGCCTGGGTTTCTTTTTTTTTGTAAATTGAAGTATAGTTGATATATAATGTTGTGTTAATTTTTGTTGTACAGCACAGTGATACAGTTATACATATAGATACACTTTTTCTAAATATTGTTTCCTATTATGTTTTATTACAGGATTTTGAATATAGTTGCTGGTGCTATACAGTAGGAACTTGTTTCAAAAAGAGCAATCTTAATGTCATTTTTACTTCTACTGACTATGAGGCTGAATTTCCTAACTATAATTGTTTAAATTTATTGTCTCTTTAAATACAGTAACGTGGGAGATGTTGGGATAATCAAATGCATTTTCATTTGGAGGTGGAAATACCTCATTAGTAACCTCCTGTCCAAAAATCAAATTATTTTGGGGACAGTAAGAAAATTGCGTGGTCAGTTACAAAGTTGTGTCTGACTCTTTTGTGACTCCATGGACTATAGTAGCCCACCAGGCTCCCCTGTCCATGGGATTTTTCCAGGCAAGATTACTAGAGTGGGTTGCCATTTCATTCTCCAGGGATCTTCCTGACTCAGGGATCAAACCTGCATCTCCTGTGTCTCCTGCATTGGCAGATGGCTTCTTTACCACTCAACCTCACATATAAATTAAACTCTTACTAAATAGTTTTGAAAATTAAATGAAGAGATAAATATATGTATGTGTATGTTTTTAAGTTTGCAGCTTTTGACGCATGTCACCAAATTAATGATGTGATTACTTTGACATATGAAGTTGACTAGTTAACTAATAAGCACTTGATAGTTAGTAAGCAGTTAGTTATAGTATTAGGTGGGGTAGGATAATGGCTATGTATACTGGCTTAAACATAATAGCAGCCTTTTTCTCTTCATGTGAGAGTACTGAGCAGGTGAACAGAAGATGGGGCAGCCCTCCTCCATAAGTAACCCAAGGACTCAGCTGTATGAGGCTCTACCATCTTCAACATAGAGTCTCTAAGGCTCCTGGGTGTCATCTGCATTCCAGCCAGATGGGAACAAGGCCATGGAGGGTTGAGCATGGGGAGTTCTATGGGCCAGACCCAGAGGCTGCATGTATTGCTTCCATTCCCATCTGATAACCTAGGACTCAGCCACACCTCAGTGCCAGGGAGGTGGGAAATACAGTCCAGCTCTTGGCCCAGGAAGGAGGGCATGGATTTGGGTGGGGAACTAGGTGTCTCTGCCACAGTTGTTAATTAACAGTTCCTCTACTATGCCCTGTGAACGCCATCTTACAGCTCATCTTTAGAGACTCGGTCCTTGGTGTGAAATGCCTCTCTCATTCTTGGTGCTTAGGCTCATGAAAGTATCATGTGACATTTTCTCAAGAGATAAAGGTAACTGGTGACCATGTTTGTGGGGAGCTAATGAAATCATGTAGTAGGTTCTGATAACATGAAGGTTGGAGAAAGGGACAATGGAGAGAGAAATACCCGCCAGCTGAATCTGGTTCACCCAGATTCACATGGGAGGCTCTGCGAGTCTTCCTGGAAGCCTGGCCTCTAGTTGCTCAGGGGGCGGCGGTACCCAAGCACAGTTGTTGGTTGTGTTAGAGGAAGGTGAGCACGGAGGTCCTGAAGGCGATGTCTGTGTTTTCAGGAAGCCTTGGAGTGGGCCATGAAGAACCACTTGTGGGGCCACGCTCTGTTCCTCTCCAGCAAGATGGACCCGAGGACCTACAGCTGGGTCATGAGTGGGTGAGTTGGGGACTTGTGCACGGAGAGACCAGTGGAGTGGAGAGACCTCCCCTCCAAACGTGGGGATGAGGATAGGGAGACGTACAAGATGCACTGAGGGGCCCCACCCTCCAAGCGTCTTTCCAATTCTAAGTCGGGCGTAGTATTTCTCTTCTCCAGATCCTTATAACCTAGGCGCGGATACATTCTTTTTAGCTGCTAGGTTGAACAAAACATTTTACTAACATTTTCTCAGGGTCAGAGCTTCCAAAGATTAAACAGGATTCTGCATTGCAGTAGCCTTCTCTCATTGTAAGAGAGAAGTTCCTAGAACTCTAGAGAGTTGAATCAGTGAGGGGGTGGATCCCTTAAGGGTGAATGACAGAGCCTTAGGACTGAGAGTTAGTAACTCACTGCTTAGTCCTGCAGTGGGGGTGTGGGTGCTGAGAAGTAGGGAGGGGTACAGAGTTGCAGGACTGTGAGCTGTGGGAGAAAGGGGTTTATAGGGCTGGAGATTAGATACGGAAGACTTCATCTAAAGGGAGATGTCAAGACTGAAGGGATGCCCTTGGTCATAGGTTGCACTGGTTTATCAGGACCTGGGTGCCAGGGGACACTGGGAAGAAGGCTCAAACCAGAATGGGATAGGAATGCAGGTGTGAGTACCTAGCCAGGAGTTTAGAACAGGGGCGATGAAACAGTTAAGGAGACTCAGGATCAGATGGAGGCGGTGGGTGTAGCGGGTGCTGGGGTCAGCCCTTCAGGCTGCAGTTAGCATCTGTGGGTGGCTGGGGACAGATGTGTGGCAGGGATGGGGTGGGGAGGGGGGCCCTCCCATAAGGAGCAGGCTTGGGTCAGACAGTGAGAAGGATGCTAACTCAACATTTATCTTCTCGTGTTGCTTAAAGCCTTGAAGCAACCTTCTCAGCTTGTTGTTGTTTAGTTGCTCAGTCGTGTCTGACTCTTTGCAACCCCGTGGACTGTGTAACCCACTAGGTCTGGTATTTCCTCTGTCCCTGGTATTTCTCCAGCAAGAATACTGGAGTGGGTTGCCATTTCCTTTTTAGGGGATCTTTCGACACAGGGATTGAACCTGAGTCTCTTGCATTTGGCAGGCAGATTCTTTACTGCTGAGCCACCAGGGAAGCCTTATCTTATATTTAAGTGAAGTGAAGTTGCTCAGTCGTGTCCGACTCTTTATGACCCCATGGACCATACCTACCAGGCTCCTTCATCCATGGGATTTTTCAGGCAAGAATACTGGAGTGGATTGCCATTTCCTTCTCCAGGGGATCTTCCCAACCCAGGGATTGAACCTGGGTCTCCTGCACTGCAGGCAGACTCTTTACCATCTGAGCCACCAGGGAAGCCATCTTATGTTTAAATTGGCTGTAAATCCTGCTGGGCAGAGTTGGATAAGAAGATAGACACCCCAACTTTAAGTTTGGTCTGTGGGGCTCACATCTATCCCACTGTCTGGGAGTCTGTTCTTCACCATGGCCCCTGCTGAGTCTCTATTACTCTGATCCTCAGTCTTCCCAGTAAATAGTGACCACCATGTACTTCATTATGCTCAGAGGCCAGAACAGTGAGGAGCACTGAACTTCTATGAGGAGAAGCACTCCAAGCTCTGGAGGAAGGATGCTGTTAAAGACAGCATTATGAAGGATAAATTTCCTTTAGGTTTTGGAAGCGAGCATCCTACAACCCTGTGCTGTAGCATACATCTCTGCTACGGATTTCCGCCTTGGGCCATTGATGTTTGATGGGGCCCAGTGAATCGTGAAATATCTCTCTTACTGAGTGTGCTTAAATCTCAAATCAGCCATAGAGCTTATTATATACTTGTTAAGCAGATCCCACGGTTTGTCATCAGCAGGATCATTTCTGGTCCCTGCTCTGCGCCTCTTCAGTTACTGAAAATGACTATTTAGTACTTGTGAGCAAAGGCACCCGGGTTAGTGATAAGCCCCAAAAAACCAGCACTGAGAACTGTAGGCTTGGCCTGGAGGAGGACTTCCTTGGGGCAGTGGGTCTCGAGGGTGGCTGGGGAGGAGGGGTCTGGAAAGAAGAGGTTCAGATTTACTGTTGGGCTCTCAGCGTTCATTGACTTATGTGTGGTTCATCTCCATGATGGACGAAGGTCTATAAAAATGGTTTGCTCAAGAGTTAGGGTGTCAGTGCTGAAGTGCACAAGGTCTCCCCGGGTGGTGAGGTCTGCTTGGGGTGAGTGGTGGGATGGGTGTCTGAAAGTGGGATGGAGCTGAGCCATAACCGAAAAGCAGAGAGAAACTCCAGTTTCAACAGAAGCCACTGCAAGGCAATGGATTAGAGGTGCTCTTGATTGGGTCCTCACTGATGGTCGGTCCCCTCTCTCTGCAGCTTCACCAGCACGCTGGCGCTCAACGATCCACTGCAGACTCTCTTCCAGCTTATGTCGGGGAGGATCCCACAGGCAGCCACGGTACCCTTCGTAACAGGAGCCCAGCATCCTAAGGGTTTAGTGGGTGGGGACTGCTCAGAAACGAGGTGATGGCTTTAGAGATGAAATAAAATAACAGCTGTCCCTTAATCACCTGCCATCTGCCTGGTCCTGTGCTAAGTATTGTGATGCATATTATTTCATTTAATGCGTGGAGGTAGGAATTATTATCCCTGTTTTGCAATCATGAAAACTGAGATGCAAAAGTGTAAAATGACCCAAGATCACAGAGCTAGGGGCAGAGGAGTCAAGATCGGTCCAGGTCTATCTAATTCTGAAGATCTTGCTCTTTCCACAAATCCACAGCTACCTGCTGAGTGAAGAATAGCGAGTGAAGCTGAGGCTGCTCTCCCCGCTTCCCACAACCAGGCTTCCTTCCTTCCCCATCACTGCACGGGACCCTTCAAAGAGGGACACTTTAGATTCTACAGGTCGTCAGTGTGAGATGTGGTTCAAGAGAACCCTGAGGCCACCTTGATAGTTTTCCCATGATAAGAGACTTGATCTGTTTGTCCCAACGTATCCCTTCCTTATCCTCGAAGTCCAGTAATTTTAGTAAGATATATCTTGTTGTTGACTGACTGTGTCAATTTTTGGGGGATAGAGCATGCTGTTTTAATATGTGCATCCATCTCTTACACTTCAGGAAAAATTTCTTGAATTATGTCCTCCAGTATTTGTTTTGCTCTCTTATTTTGATTTTCTTTTTAGGAACTCCCTCTATATACAAAATATAATAGTATATATATATGATTAATTCTTTCTTTTCTTCTTTTTTGCTGTGTCCCTCCTGTGTATCCCTTACTATATTTTCATCGGTGTCTCTTACTTGCTGTGCTCTTTGAAATTTTGTCATTAAAAAAAATACATATATATTTATTTATTTGACTGTTTCTGGTCTTAGTTGTGGAGCCCGGGTTCTTTGCCGTGGGAGCGTGGCTTCTCTCTGGTTACGGTGTGTGGGCTCCAGAGCACGGAGTCTCAGTCATTGTGTTGTGTGGGCTTATTTGCCCCATGACATGTGGGAATCTTGGTTCCCTGACCAGGTATAGAACCCACATTCCCTGCATTGGAAGGCAGATTCTTAACCACTGGACCACCAGGGAAGTCCCCTCCATTTTTGTCTTTATTTCTTTGACTTTCCTTCCACTGCCCTCCTGAGCTTTGCACATCTACCTCCTCCTGTTCTCCACCATCTCTTTCCTTTGCTCCTATAACTTAGCTTTAGGCTCTTGCTTCATAAAAGAAATTGTTTCATTATTTTACTTACATTCATGATGAAATATTTGATGACCATTCTTTGGTGGTATCATTTTTTTTTTTTTTCTGGTGAATGTTCTCTCTACCTTCTTCCCTCCTTTTATCTTGATGGTATATTTGTACAAATTCTGTATTTGTTCCTTCACAGGCTTCAAGCCTTCCTTGGGCCAGTTATTTATGGGAGGTTTGAGCTGGGGAGATGCCAGGGCCATGTTCCAGGCCAGCTGGCATTTCGTACAACCTGGTACTTTCTGTGAGCGTCTCTGCTTCTCCGCAGCCAATGGAGATGGCTGTGGGATCCCCTGTCTCTGGTGTTCTCTCTCTCTGCCTCCCGAACCCACCTCTGCTCAATCTCTTTTGGAAGCCTTTTCTTGTATTTAGAGGCTTGGGTTTTTGCTGACTTTTAGTTTTAATGAAAACACACTCACACTTTTGCTTTTTTGTCCTTCTTATTCTTGTGGACAATTTCAAGAAAAGAAAAGAGAAATACTGACTTTCATGCCCCTTTGTCAAATGAACTGACTATATCAGAACATGCGATGCACCTCACAGTTCTGCCGAGTACATGTGATCTGCAATGAAATCCTACCATGTCACAAAACGCTAAATGCAGGGAGTGATGTAATCATACAGGGAGTGATGTAATCAACAAACAACATTGGGTCTCAGTACACTGGTAGAGTTTGCTAACTGATCCCTGCTTTTGGGTAGGAAAACCAAGGAGCCAGAGGTGATATGCCACTGTGGTTATTTGACACCCATGTTGGAGAGTTTCCTAGCATCATAGCAGCCAGTAAAGGCTAGACTCTGGTACTTACAATGAGAGGTGTAGTGGACGAAGCATGGCGATTGGAAAACAGATGTGGGCTTCTGTCACAGGCTTAACCTAGACTCTGCTCCTCACTGTTGTGTGAACTGGGTCTTGTTACTTAGTCTCAGAGTCTCAGCTTTTCATCTTTGTGGGCATTTTGATGCCTAACAGAGTTATTGTAAAAATTTAAAGGAGGGAGAATATCTGAATGTATTAATGGCCATGCTTGGCCCATTGAAGTTAGCTAATAAGTGTTCTCTGTCTCTCCCCACCTCTATAGATCTCCTTTACAGTGATCCCCACCCCCCAATCACCTGGGGAGGAGACAGAAGAATTTCTTCTAAGTTTTTGTTCTAAAAGAAAAAAAAAAAAAAGCAAGAGCTTTTCTGTTGCTGGCTCCCTTAGTTCCAGCCAGAAAGAGCCTGGCTCACACGTTAAAATGGGAATAATAATGGTACTTAATGCATGTGATTGTTCATAGGAGAAATGCTTAGCACAGGCTGTGGCCCAGGGTCAGAGTGCAATAAGTGAGAACTGCTATTATTTTTGTGATTTATTATTATCATTCTTCTCATTCACACTGCTTTTCCCAGATAAACAAAGAGTATCTATAAAATGGAGCTGGATAAAGCATCTTTTGTTCTGTGGGATAATTACAAATACAATACCAAATAATTGTGAATTGTTTTGACCTCCAGATCTTAGCTATTACTGTCAATCTCCTGTTCTGTCCATTCTGTGTAACAAATTGGAGGACAGACTGGCCTGCAAATCACCTCTTTTCCTCTGCTGTGCTTGTGTGTGTGTGTATTTACACCTACATGTAATTTATAAAGTGCAAACCAAGTGCAAGGCACTACGCTATGGGCTTCACCGATCTCATTTCACTACCAACAGTAATCCAGTCAGGTAGACATTATGATCTCGATTTAGGAGATGAAGAAACAAAGCTTCAAAAGCATTAAGAAACTTGCTCAAGAGGCAGGACTCCTGTTGAACCCAGCGCCTGTGACATTGTTTTCTTTATTGCTATTTCTTCTGCCCCGAAATTCCCCGGCATTCAGAAGGACGGCCCATCCGTTCCTATGGGGCTTCCACCCGCGTCCACTTCTCTGACTGCCTTCGACCGCCCCCTTGTGGAGCTATGCTGCCCCTGCATCGTCACCAGCGACTAACGCTGGCTGGGCCCCTTGGCCTGTTTTCTCTCAAGAGGCGATAAGAATTAGATTTCACAGAGTTGTGAGAAGATTAAAGAAGGTGATGTGTAGAAGAGGACTCTGTAAAAACAGAGAACATTAGCCATTTGGTAAAATATTAAGGAGCCCAGTGTTCCCCTGTTTTCTTACAGGTTAATATGGACTCTGCTCATGAACCAAGGGTTTGCGATCCTCCAAGAAGGAAATGTATCAATATCAATATCAATGTTGTTGTTGTTTTTTTTTAAAATTTTGTCCCCAGCTATCGAGATTAGGGGCACCAGGATGAAATTTGAAAATTAGTGACTAGTAGTGTGATTTTTTTATTTATCTACCTCCCAATATTGGAGAAGGAAATGGCAACCCACTCCAGTATTCTTGCCAGGAAAATCCCATGGACAGAGGAGCCTGGCAGGCTACAGTCCATGGGGTCACAAGAGGCGGACACAACTTAGCAACTAAACCACCAACCACCACCTCCCAATACTCCTGTGTATGCATGTATTTATATGTGTCTGCCTACCCATCCTTCGAAGAGTTCTGCTTTTTTTTCAAAAAAGAAAACTCAGAATCAATGAGTGGCCGCACTGCAGGCAGCCTAATAGGCATTCCTGGCAAATCAGAAAATAGACAACAGCCTTCCTTAATCTATGTTCTGGCCGGGGCTGTATTACTCAGCCAGTGTTCAATTTTTCTGCTGCTTTTCAGTGTTGTGGGGACAAGCAGTGGGGAGACTGGAGGCCACACTTGGCAGTGATTCTGTCGAATCAGGGTGGAGACCCGGAGCTGTACCAGCGCACGATTGTCACCATGGGGGACACCCTGGGTAAGCAGAGACCAGCTCCGTCCCCTCCTCGCCTCTGTCTCCAGGCCAGCTTTAAACACGCTGTGCTTAGACTTCGGTTCTGTGTTGGGCCCAAGTCTATGCCTCAGGGATTCCTTTGACCCAGGAGCCTCAGTGTTTTGGGGACAGAAAATCCAGGGAAAGGAGTGTCCTTCTTGCCTTTCCGTTTCCCAGATTTCTGCTGTGAGTGAGTGCAGGCCAGGCCCCTGAGACTCTGGTGTCCTGCCGCTGCAGGAGGCTGCCCTGAGTGGTTGATTCCTGTGCTGGGGTCAGAGTCCCTAGCAGATGGATTTAACACCTGGAGCATCTCCCTACTGTTGTTGTTAGTCCCCCAGTGACCCAGCTCAACCAGATAGGAAATTCTATTTTTGCCTGAGCTACCCTGGGTAACTGTGTAGTCTTTATTTCTATCATCTCTTTGTGAATGTGGCCTTTTAAACACTTAGGGGCTGTTGGATGTTGCAGATCAGTGGTTCTCAGATTGGGTCAAGGGACAGAATATTTATTTATTTATTTTTTTTTTTTTTATTTTTTTATTTTTTTTATTTGTTGGAGGCTAATTATTTACAACATTGCAGTGGTTTTTGTCATACATTGAAATGAATTAGCCATGGATTTACATGTATTCCCCATCCCGGTCCCCCCTCCCACCTCCCTCTCCACCC